TACTGTATTGCCTGATGATGAAATAATCGAAAACGTTCGTTCGCCTAACTTGGCTTCCTTAATCTAATGTTTGGCAATCGAAAAGCGCGTGATAACTAAAAAGAAAAATGCAACGAAGAAGATCTGCACACATTGTGGAGCTCCGCAAAGAACTAGACTAAAATAAAGCTAAAAAACTAAACATTAAATTTAAGGATAAACCGCACTGAAAATAAACCAAACTCACAGATAAAATTACGTAAAAACTGAACTAAATTAAAATCTACTTAAAAATAAGAAAAAAAACTAAACTAAATAACTTAAAACTAAATTCCAATATTAAATCTAAAACCTGAATAAAAATAAAACTAATTTGAAGACTATGGTAAAAAAAATAACTTGAAACAAAACTCAGATAACTAAACTAAGGCAAACTAAACCAAATTAACAAATTAGATTAAAAACTAACCTAATCTAACCTGAAACCAAATTAAAACAAGTAGAAATAAAAGGAGCCGCAGGACGCTAAAGATTTCTGTGTTTGGGGAGTGCAATAACGGCGTACTTTTGTGGTAAGAAAAACATACCTCTATTAAATACATCGGCAGCTATGCAAATTGCGGGTAGTGATTCCGGCACCACACTATCGCCCTCCTGTTCTAAATGACATTTTTGGTTGTGAAAGTATGCCTAAGAGGTTACGTGGAGAGTTAGTGATCTTTGACAAGGCCTGTATCTGATAACCATTATAGGGGCGTGATTAATTTTCTGCCATATCTCCGATCATCTCCTTCGTGCTGGCATAAGAGCTTGACTGTAGGCCTCATGGACCAAATTACCCCCTACTTGGTGAACTTCTGGAACGTCAACTTGAAGATGTCATTGGGTTTTTAAAATTTTCACTAATTGCGCGGAGTATCCGCTCTCTTTCCACAGACAACTGAATGTTAAGTCTAGAAACCGCGAGGTGAGTCCTAACATGGCTGCATGCGTCCTAAAAGTCCGCTTTCTAAGCGGTTTAGCCTAAGCAACAAAGGTCACTGCAAATGGTCACTCGTTATGACGTGAGCCAAGACGAGTTAAACAGTAAGAAAACAGATGCAACCCCAAGTACTAGTACTGTCTCGTAAACATAAATTCAAAACGGTCGCAAACTGCTCGTGACGCTGGTGCAGACGAAAACAAGCATGCCGTCAAAGGCGAGTTGACTGAGTGCGCAATGCGGCCTCCATCGACCGCATCCTCCTGCCGGATTCGCCATTGTGGGTAGTATGCTGCATGTGATTTATACTATAATAAGGAAGAATTTGGCCGCACCGGCCTTAAATCACCACACCGCTCACTAGGACCAAATCGGGGCAGGGAAGGCGTTATATCTGCAAAACGCATTCATAACGAATGCCAAACGTGGAGGTGCAGTAGCAGGCCTAGGCACACGCTCATGCCGTGTCGTAGTGGCGCGCCTAGGTGCAGACTCAAGCCATGTCAGCCACATGCGTTCAATCTGCCATTCGGTATTCTTGACCCTATTATGACATTTGGCTCTGGTGGATGAGAGGTAAAAGTATGCAGTAGATGCCGCACAAATCCAGCAACCGTTCCGGTGAGATCGATAGATCGACTGCAGTAACTGCCTGGGTTTGCGTCCTCAACCCCTAGGAAATGGGCTTCAACCTGCCCGTTCTAGATTTTGTCCCGAAACATCAAATATCGA